GGTCTTCCAGTCTTTGGGTAATGTGGCGGGGGTGGGGGGGGTGTCTGGTAAGGCAGTGTGTTGCGGAGGAGGGGTCTATGTGCCACTCTCCTAAAGACACGCAATTATGCTTAATTTTTAATGAATATTAATGGCATTAGTGTCAGATTTTGTGGAGATGTGCATCTGCCAAGGTGGAGGGGCAAAGGGGGGTGGGATGGAGGTGGGGGGGGCACATTCATTTAGTAGTCATGAGGAGAAAGACTCGAGACAACGAGTGATGGAGAAAGTGAAGGGTGGATGTGGTGGATGAGGAGAAAAAGATGAAGATCATGAAACTGAGCTGAGATGGAAAGTTAGTTAAGGGAGAGGCTGGTTGTAGATGAAGAAGAGGAGAGAGGTGGAGAAAAAAACCCAAAGATTTATAAGACAGGATGCAAAGAATACAGGAGAAAGATGAAATGATGCAGAGTCAGGGAGCAGTAAAGTCTGAGCTGGGGCAAACAAAAGTAGGACTAATGACTGAGAAGATAAGTAACAGAAACAAGAAGGAGGGAATCGCAAAGTTAACACAAAAGAAGATGCTGACCCTTAAAATCAGCATGAGGTTATGTGTGACGAAATCTCTGTTTTTCAAAGCAAGACAGCCCTGAGCAGACAATGATGGTTAAAAAAACCCCCATAAACAACAAAGAATGTGTATGTTTTTAAAAACACTTTTTTTTAGTGGCCCTAATCCTCCTCCGTATGTCTCAATCAGTTTCACATGTCTGTAAATGTCTGTTTGCTCTTTCTGCTTTTTGTTGTCTGAAATTGCGGCATCAAATGCGCTTATTTGCTGTCATGCCACATTCTTTTCTCAAACGAGCAATGCACCATTTCACCTTGCTCTCTGCCTGAATGCACTGTTAAAAAGTGGGCAGTGTAACCAACCGAACAGAGGCACTAAAGCATTCTTAATTGAGGTGTGAGCAAAGAAAGAAACAAAGTGTATTGTTGTTTGTTAATGGAGTTAACTTTAAAGAGCAGCATGGTGTGCTAGATTCCTCGTCGACCAAATGACTAACAGGAAAGTGATACTCTGAGCTTTTTTTATGACACAACTTGACATTTGAACTCATCTTTGAGGTGAAGAAGATGTCTCCTCTTGTATTTTATAAAAAAAAAAAAAAGATTGAATCACAAGTAGGACTGCCTCAGAAAGAAAAACTTTCACGACTCCAAACAATTGCTGGTGTGTAACATTGACACGTTTGTTACTTCTGTACATCTCACACCTACTGCCTGACTCCCCCTCCTGAGTTAGTGGGATTAACATGGTGCTGCAATATTGATTTACGTCTGCATAAAGCTTCTCCGGCTCTATATATTACACCACATTCAGCAGTCATCTATTCAATCAAATCTAATATTACACTGCCTCTCCACACAGCTGTCTAATAGCATTTAACTCACAGTTTGATTCCTGCATTCCCTCATGTACTTCAAACGCTTGCCTTCAATATCCTTCATTCGTTTCTACTATGCCAAGATGAAGTCTTTTGAAAAGCACGGAGGATGAATGAGCGTGTCTGCGTGTGTGTGCGTGTAAGTGTGTGTGAAGACAGGATTAGCTGTGGCCTAAGGCTTAAGGTATGGAGTGGAGTGTATTTTAGAAGCTTCTAAATTAGCTGGGAAATGGGATTTTGAGACAATGGACTGGAAAAAAAAAAAAAAAACTCAAATGAAAGGATGCACTCGCAGCACTCCTCCATTTGCCTCTGATGTTCTCTGTCTCTTCCTTTTTCTATCCTGTTCCTCACTTTCTCTTCCCTCTCTTCCCCCCCATTGCTTCCTTTTCTCCTTCTCTATCTCTCTTGAATCTCACCTTGTGTTTTTTTCTCCAAACATCTGCCTCTCTCCTCCCAGTATCTGTTTCTCTCTCCCGCTTACCCTTTCCGTCCGTATTACAGTTGACAGTGATGATGTAAGAACGTGAGTGTAAACAGTAGTATGAGGCTAACCTCACTTTGACCCACTTAAAACGGAAATCCCCTCGAGTATACACACACACACATGCACACGCATACACTCTTACACACACACTACATACTCATATGCCTGAGTAAATATTGAACTTGGGTCAGCAGCCACTCTTCTCATTTCACTGTCTGAGTAACTGTCTGTCCATGTGTGCATCCTCTAAAGTGTGTGTGTGCATGTGCTTACTTGTCCACATAAAAAAGAATGCCACTACATGTCCCCTCTCCTTTATTTCTTCTCCTCCTCCTCCTCCTCCTCCTCCTCCTCCGACCCCTCCTCCCTCCATTCCCCAGGCCTTTATTTACCAGCGGAGGTGTATTGGTGTCTGAAGCCGGGATTCTGCTTCAGTCGAGCACTTCCGACCATGTAATAAAAGCATGATGTTTGGCGTGCATCCAGGCTCCCATTGATAAACACGGGGGCTGTGCACACAGACACAGGGCTCGCCCAGGGGCCCTGACGAGGAAAATAGCATGGCTTTGTTTTGAAAATAGCGCCTCCATATTTTGCTGCCATGCTGATGTTGAGCGTCTTTCTGCACCCATCAATTTAAAGGGAAGTTATGTGATCCCGTGATAGAACCACATCTGGGTGAACAGGGTTTCCCTCTGGCTTTTAAATGTGGTAAAGAGGATGTTGTTGGTTTGTGTGTGTGTGTGTGTGTGTGTGTGTGTGTGTGTGTGTGTGTGTGTGTGTGTGTGTGTGTGTGTGTGTGTGTGTGTGTGTGTGTGTGTGTGTGTGTGTGTGTAGGTTCTGCTATAATGAAAAGATAATAGCTTGAGGATACATTTACTTGGTTTAATTTCATTGAGAATAAAATGAAAAGTAGAAGGTCGTGCCTTATTTAAGAAATCTAATGAAGAACTGTTTCAAAGAGGAGAATAACTTACTAACATGCAACATAGCAAGAACAAGAAGTCCCACCAGCTGACCTTACACATCAATTCAAACCGGTTAAAGCATTTATTAACAATGTAGAAAAATATCAGTAAGCAGAGCAGAGGAATTGTTCTTATGTTCTCGTTCAAAACTTTAATATACACTTATTTGGGGTAGTTCTTTTAACTGTGGTCATTAAATAGTAGAAGTTATGTAGATGAAGGAATACAGAATCCATTATTTAAAAACATTTAGCTGTTTAAACGGGATCCTCATGTCCATCTGCAACATTTCTCTTCTCTAACACGTGTTTCTACTTCTAACCAAAACACTTTTTGACTACGTCACAGTTTATTCATAGTGAAGTGGTCACACATTTTTAAATGGAGACATCACAGCTTTTAGGAGCAAAGACACTGAAGAACCAGGATTAAAAAAAAAAACCCATGGCTTTACAGTTGATGAGTGTGCTACTTTATCCTAGCAATGCAGTAAAATGTTTCCTATGAGTGCTGTGAATACTTTAGTGGAAGTGTTGAGTAGCTGCCTGCAAAGAAAGAATGAAATTGAGTAAACATTTGAATATTTGAAATGCTCTATAATTTAAGTTCTTCATTGATTTAATTGGCATATAATTACAATTTTGAGTTTGAAGGGACTACTCTTGAGTATTTAAGGTCATTACATTACCTGCTCTTAATAATTAATGAATGAATACATTAACTTTCCTCTATGTGAGAGCACAGCTGCTAATGCAGCATACAACACTGTGTGCGCGATGAAACTTTAAAAGGAAACGTTCAGTGTGCATAAAAGCTCATATCAGAAGAGTGTACAAAGACTGAAATCATATCATTCACCCTGGATTCACGAATTACGACCCGTTTAATGCTCTAATAATAGATCTATTTCACGTGATACATTTCTTGCTGTGAAGGATAATCTTCTGCTATAAAATTATATCACCTAGCTGACAGGGATATTGCCCACCTACTACAGTATAATCAAACAACAGATAAGAAATCAAACTGTGGGGGAAAAACTGATTTTCAGAGGAAAAACCTGAACACACCTTGAGTGTTTGTGCGTGTGTGTGTGTGTGTGTGTGTTTGTACTGTGTACGTATGTTGTGTGTGCAGGCACTCACGTGTGATCTCTCTCCGCGTCTCGCCGATCAGTTATCACTAATCCTTCCTCTCAGAGCTCTTTAACAAGTTGCCATTGTGCTTCCAACGCTTAACATGATGGAGGAACGACCTCCGCGGCGAATGAAAAGAAGAGAGAGAGAAAAGGAGGGAGAGATTCAGAGGGAGGGAGAGGGAGAGGGCAACACCTCCGACAATGGGGAGAAAATTGGTTTACACTAGATAGGCTTGTGATTACAGAGGGAAAGAAAATGACTTAGATTGAACAATAGGACTGTGTGCGTGTGTGTTTGTGTGTGTGTCTCTGTGCGCTCGTATTTGTGTGTATGTTTGGCGGATTAGTGGGTGGTTAGGCTGGGATTTGGTTGAAATGAATTGGCGAGTATGGTGCGTGTTTGGATGATTTTTCAGTCTGCATGTACGGCGTCTGAGTGTTTATTTCCTCGTGCAACATGCTGCTTTGTGTTGTGACTTGATCTAAGCGGGGATCAGAGTCTTTATTACAGCCTTTTAAAACCTGACACACACTCACAGACCGACTCATTCACTCCATCCCCGTCACTCATATTAACACAATATTATATTTATGACAGGAGACTGTCGATCCCGACTCAGGGACGTTGCTAATACGATGTCGCTGAGTAGGAAGCTGGAATCATTTGAATGTTTACATGACGACACAAATAAAATTAAATACACAAAATCATCTCAAACCCTGAGCATATTATTTTGACATGTTCATCGGCATGATTTAAAATGACCTTGAGCAGTTCTTGCCTGTATAATTAGCCATCATGTTCTTTCTTTTCTTTTCACAATATGAATAACTTTTTGGGACTTAAGGGGCTCCGTACTTTTCATCCATAACTGCCAAGACATATTATGGACATTCTCTACTCTGTGCTCAAAATATTGGCAATATTAAATCCATCTTCAATTCCTAACCTTTTCCCCATCTTTCGTGTTTCTTTCCAGGAGTCGCAGCAGGACACCTACAGCTCCAGGGGTCCTGCCCCAGGGAACTCTGGCAAGGCAAACAATGAGGAGGGCGTCTCTCATGACCGTCCGTCCAGTCTGCCGGTGAGTAATTGACAGTTTTGCACACCATTAAGTGCAAATGGTTGCAGACTTTGACATGTATTGCTTAACATATTTGGTAAAAGATAAAGTCTGTGTGTGTGAGAGGGAGAGAGAAAAAGTAAGAGAGAGAGAGAGTGATCCTTTGTTGCAGCAGACACAAAAACACACCATCAGGTGTCAAAGAAGTATTTTGTTTCTTGTCTTCCTTCAATTGTGTGTATTTTGCTGCCATCATCTAGTTTTAGGCATCTCGTCCAGTCGGACACCTCAGCTCAACCTGTGACCATCCTGTGATCCGTGGGAATCATGGATTCCACTAATATCTCTGAGCTTATGTCTTTGTTTTGACTGGCGCCCATGCCAAAGGCAAAAGGGCCATGCATCATGCTCTCACTCACACATACACCCACATGCACAGATGAGCATATGCACAAACACGCACATTCCTGCAAATGCACGCCGCAATCACACATGCAAAACCAAACGCTCTTGGCATTTGGGCAAGCTAAAAAAAAAAAAAGCGTCAAAGCAGGTTGACTGGAGGAGTAATGAAAAAAACGGTTAGGCCACGCTGATCTATGAGAGCAGAGGGATGTGGGCTGCACCAGTTTTCTGGCCAAACTGATCGTTTTCTATCGTTTCTCCCTTTGCAGCTCCTCGGCACTTTCAAGAACAGAATAAATAGACATTTTCAAATAGTGGCAAATACTGGCACTCCTTGAGGTGTGTGCAGTTTAATTTACCAGATACTTTGGAAAAGCCTCGGGAGCGGAGCAATAAACTGCAAGAGAAGCTAAATGAAGTGTATGAACTCAAATGAAATGATTATATTTTCCATATACAGATACCTTTAAAGTCTGTGCTCGCAAATTGTCTTCTGTCTTTCAACAAACACTGACAGTTTGACTTTGTGTTTCTTTTTAATTCAGAGGCTGACTTATCTGTCACTATTCCAACTTATTCCTGCTACTCTTTCTCACGCACAGACATTCACACACTCTCTCTATCTTTCTCTCTGTTATTTCCTTCATTGCATACCAATAGTAGTATGTCATCTGCTTTATCTTGGCATTTCTCCTTTTTCTCCTACACTCTTTACCCCCCCTCCCTTTTCCCACTCTGTCTTTCCCTCTAAAGTAGCATCATGAAAGCTTTTTTTCCCCCTTCGTGCTATAATGAGAAATGGCCTTGATGTATCAGTGTGTGAATTGTGGAGCGGGAGAGCAAGACGAGGCGAGGAGCCACTGCAGTCGCAGGGGCCGATCTATTTGAACCACCATCACTATCACCCCACATTCCCCCTCCCCACTCTAATCCTGGCGTTTTACCCCCTTGGGTTCCTCCGTGTGTTTTCACATCCCATCCAAAGCGCATGGCTCGGCGAGATCCTAATCGGCGGCAAGTTTTGATGAGAGAGAGACACGGAGAGGAAGAGATGGATAGATAGAAGGGTAGCAAGAGAAGGGGAGAGAAATCGCTCGGCTTTTGCCAGGCTCTTCCAGCAAGCTGTCACGGCAGAGATGTAACCCCCTTCTTTCTCTTTTTTTTTTTTTTTTTTACTCTCGCTGGCGTTTGATGTCAGATCTAAAGCTGCTGTCATCTTTTTTTTTTCCCTTTCTCTGTCAGAAGGGAGGGAGCGCGGGTCGGCAAAGTGTCATGTTGTTGTTTTGGGACGAGTCTGCTGTGTGATGTGGCGGGATTTTTGAAGCGAGACCAAAGGGAAAAGGCGCTTTAGTAACTCATCACAAATGCAAGTCACAATGCACCATGGGTTTTTAAAATGTAATGTGTTGGAGATGCGCCGTGTCTTGTATTTCATATCACCTAATTGCTCCAAGCAGAAAGAACATGTGTCAGTGCTCAGGACGAGCCTGTAAGTGCAGCATTAGCATTGATGTTAGTGTTGACCATCTATCTGACTGTCTATGTAGCTTTGGCTCTGGTGTGAATTTGAATGAGACACATTTTTATGCATGGCATTAACATGAAATCTGTTGCCTCTCTGAGATCATTCATCATTATAATGGAGGAATGAGTGACTGCTGTTTTCATTGTGTACAGTTCAGTTGTTACAGCTTTGTTGCTGCTTATCAAAAGCCTGACTTATTGGTGGCAGCGGTTAACCTGCAGCTTTTTTTCAGTATTCTGTCATTTTAAACCGACCTCGCAGTCACCACCCGATATTGAGTCTCACACTACAATATTCCTCTTTCAGTATCTTCTTGGTCAGTGTACTTTCAGGCCGATCATTTTTTTTTCTTTTGATACCATGAACATTGAAAATCAAGAAGAACAAAGTGGAAAAAAACGGCCGAAACCAAATTGTGAGGTTGAGATAAAAAAAAAAAAAAGGTCATGTGGCCTGATATGAATGTGATATTCATCACATGCAAATGTTCAATGGGATCTTGGGTGTTCATTGTGTAACAAAAAGGTTTTTGGAGACTTTTTGCAATAAAAAAAAGAAATGTTCTGAACCCCTAATCCAAAAAAGAAAAAAAGTATATTTGGTAACATAAATCACAAAGTAGTCAATACGGACACAATTATTGATAGAGGAATTTAATTGGAATGTCATTTTTTTTATTATTTAAACCATATCAATGTTATAACCTTACGGCGTTGATGGGGACCTCGTGTGGTGACTATATATGCTCTTTATTTGGGTAGGATTATTAATTAATTAATGCCAGTCCACTAAAATAATCATTATATATCGCACTAACTAGCTAACTCTAGCTCAGCCTGAAGCTACAGGCAACAAATGTATTTGCAAAGTGTCTCATTTTAGATGTACTTTGGCAGAGCCTGTTCCTTCAGTGCTGCACAATATTAAAGTTTGGAGCCAGAACAAAGATCATCTATTCAGAGTATGAACCAATTGATAGGAAAGAAAAGCACAGCAATGAAATGTTAGCTTCAGATCAGATGAACAGATTTACCTTTTTGGTTTGTACTTTATTTAAATAATAAAAACTGCACATTAGGACTCCAGTTAATTGTCATAACTTTTTCATCTTGTATCATCTGTCCCATATGAGGCATCAGAAATAACCTTTTCTGTCAAGTCAAAAGATGTTGCTGTTTTTATGAGTTATGACATTTTTAAAATGACCCTAGTTTCCATTCAACAGGTTTGGTAGTGATATGTCAAAAAAGGGTGATATGTTATGTTGATCACTAATGAGATGTTACAGTTTGGCACAAGATAGTATTTTGGGTGCTGCATGTTAACTTGTGCTGTTGGTGATGGTGACTGTTCTGGTACTTTTTCTGGTGCCTGATGCATCTTTTGCCTAATGTTGCTAAGCAGAGCCAGTTCTTCCAGTGCCACATTGAGGTGTGATATTCCCCCCTCAGTCCCCCCCTACAACCCCAATGCCTCCCCCGTTCCAGTCACTACATGTTCACTGCTCTCTGGCGCTCCCCTGACAGCCTGCCAAGCTGCCGCACAGCCTCCCATCCTCTGGGACATGGGAGAGGATGGCCAGCCATGTGGAAAGACAGAGAGAGAGTGTGTTAGGGGGTGGGAGGGTGAGGTGTGGAAGGGCGAGGGGGGGGGGGGGATGGGTGAAGAGCAGGATGAGAAAAAGGAATGAGTAAGAAAGAGAGAGAGTGCATGAAGCGGTGAAGTGAAACGTGGTTATCTTTTTGTCACTTGTACAGGGTGAGGGATGTTGAATTCAGGCTACGGGGGTTCCGGCAGCGGCATGTTATTCACACGAGCACACACACATAGATAAAAATATTTTTGTATGTCTTTCAGTGCTCATTTGCCACTCCTTGACTTATTTTTCATTTGACAAAAGGGAAAATTCTGAAACACTATCTCTCCCTGGCTGTCTCTTCCCTCACACTCCCGTCCACCTTGCCCTCTCTGTTTTTCAGAGTGTTAGGTCAGGAATGATTGACAGGGCACAGCTGCAGAGCCCTGCCCCCCTCCCCTCCTCTCTCTCTCTCTCTCTCTCTCTCTCTCTCTCGCTCTCTCTCTCTCTGTCTCTCTCTTACTTCACCCACACTCACTCATACAGACCTCTTTGCTCACCAACACACACATCTCACACTTTGATACACATTCTGTCCTCTGCGAGCCGTTTTCACACACCAAGTGTTTGTGTGTGTGTGTGTGTGTGTGTGTGTGTGTGTGTGTGTGTGTGTGTGTGTGTGTGTATGTGCTCTATTAGAACATGTCAGTCAGACTGCCTATACAGTATGTGCTCTCACTCTGGCTCTCCCCACTGTGTTTTATTTTAGAGTCCCTAGGCAGGCAGACAGGCCAGCAGGCAGCACACAGTAATGTCATCCAGCAGGGTTAGATTCAGCCTCCACATTAGTGCTCACAGGGGGGGGAGGAGAGCAGAGGGAGTCGAGAATGCAAAGAAATGCAGGGGTGATGAGGAGGAAAGGAAGGAAGGAAAGGACTCCAGTTGAAAGAAAAATATTCCTCATGTTGGTTTTGACGTACGATTTAAAATATATCAAGATTACATACTGCACATTCAAATCACTCAACATATACTTTCAAGGACCATTCATATTGCTCTGACAAAATGCCTTTTCCACATAGTAACATACATTTTTCTTGTATTTTTTTATATAAATTGAAGTTGTGGAGAGGTGATGAGAGATGAGTGGAGAGAAGATTGGGGAATGAGGGAGGCAGGGAGACTCAGATGAGATGTTCTCTGGACCCTGCTGCCTATTCTTAGAATCGACGGCAGCACTGAAGGCCATAGCAGCTTCCTGCCGCCGCTCTGAACACATAGCAGCTCTGAGAATAGGACAGCTAATCTGAAGCTAGCCTCACACTCTGAGGTGGAGGCGAAAGCTTATGGTCACACACCACACGTAGACCTGTAGACACTCAAAGTATGAGCAAAGGTGAAAGATTCATTGTCCCTTTATGAGATAGTAGTTCACAAGGTTTCATAATTTACTGTGTCATTTGATACGTTTGTATCCAACTTAACTCTATTTGTGGTGGTCATACTTACAAATAT